ATTTAACAGTACTACGAATTTTCGGAAGCGGGGACAGAAGCGGGGATTTAACATGAGTGATTAATTAATAAGGAAAAGCCTTGTTTTCCAAAGTGTATGTCGGCAGAAGAGAGATGATGCCGCTTTTCTTCTCCAGTTTCCCTTTTCTTGGGTGGTATTCATAGGCTTGTCTTAATTTTGGGTAACTATGTTTTGAAAATCCTGTCAGGTTACCTAGCATTTGAATTTCTTACTTATACATTTTTTAATTATTATTCCGTGGGATGCCTGTGGCATTCCCACGGTGAAAATCCGGTACCCAAAATTGCAAAGCCAGCCAATAGGATTGCCTAAAATCTTTATTGATTATCTCTTCTTCCAAGCCGACCAATCAGATTGTACAAAATCTGTATCGATTTCTAATCGATTTGCTTCCTCTGAAGAACGTTGAACTGCAGAACGTTCCTTGCTGAATTTGTCGCGGTTGAGTTTTCCCACTCGTGGTTTAGGATGGCTTGTTAAGCAGCGAAATCCTTCAGGATACTGGCAAGTCACGTAAGGCGACCTAAGCCAAATTATTTCTTTCCTTCATGATTCTTTTTTGTTTAGGTTGAGCTTTTTCATAAGGTTTTAGTAGCGTCTGGTTGCGGGCCGTGATTTCCGATAAATTTTCCTATTCGGAGTTCGCCAGTTTTTGCCGAGCACAGCTAGAGTCCAGTTTTTTTCTTTTCTTATCGAAAACACCTTGACGATGGGAGGTTAAATCGCGTAAATTTCGACTCGTACCCTTGACGATTGGCGGTGAAATCGCGAAAATATTGTCCTCGTCGATCGACGACTCGCTCATGGCATGGATTGGACTTCTGGATGGGACACGGATCAGGACCTTAGTAAACTTATTATACCCTGGAATCAGGGATAGTCATTGGAACTATGTTAACTTTGAGACCTTGGAAACACATTGCAATTAATTTTTAACCGTATCAAGAGCATCTTGGAATATTAAACTTTCATCGTGGATTAAAACATTGGAACTTTATCGAACTTTGTAACCCTGGGTTTGACCCTGGATAAAGCAAGCGGATGTTTTGTTTTGTTTTGTGCCATTAGCCTAAAACTACAATGTTTATTTCTCTTTGAAAAAGTTACCTGTGGCTACTTACTACCAAGATATGACGTATCTTTATACATATATTTCCCGTTCAGGTTAATCAGAGAGCACTATGCGTATGTTCTCCATTACTTGTTCCGTTAACATTCCAATTTAAGTTATACGGGTAAACCTTGTTTTGATGCAAAATAACTTCTTTTTCTTATCCAAATCGTGCTATGAAAATAACTACATAGCGATAGATCGAAACAAGATCAACTCCATCCTTGCGACCACTGACAACTATAAATTTAGCTTGCGTAGCAGGTGTCGAAAGGGGTAGGGGATAAGGAGGAAGCAAAACGGGGATGTGGATTGGGGAGAAATAGTAGCCTGTCACGCAGGCTTCTATAAATTCAGTCATAAGCACATCAAACCAACCCATACAGGTAACCTACTCATCGATGCTCTTAAGATGACACATCTCTCCGGTTTCCCTAATTTTTCCAAATTCAGATAGAACGCCATTATGCTTCCATAGACCAACGCATCCCACGGAAACGACTTTAGGCGTCTTGTTATTTGGGCGTGGCCCAAATAGAGTAATGGAAACGGCTTGTTTTGACGCAAATGTGCAATAGGCACGCAATTCGTGCTAACGTAAACAAGACGCTGTGTGAGCGTATATTTGGGCGTGGTCGTACTACGGGTATGATACTTTGAACATGCCTTATTGCAGCTAAAGAACTGTCATCATATCTTACCAGAGAAGACAAATCCTTTACTCCACTTGTTTGCTGAACCACACAGCTTATACAGTATGTCCCAATCCACAACAAAAATAGTGTCACTTCACGACAATGTTTGAAAATATGCACATCTTCAATGCAGACATGCTTGGAGCCAAATTACAACATAGAACATAAGTGGTTACAGGCCAGAGAGTAAGGTTTATCTCAGCTCCACTGATACTGACAGATGTGTTTCACACCCATCACTTTGTACAGTGTATTCCGGTTACTAACAAGGGCAAATAAAGTTCCTTAAGTCCAGTATCCACAAGGATTAATAAGAGAGTAAGTGCACAGACTCATTACGACACATCGCTGTCCACCATTTTCCTCAAATCCCGTAACATTTCCTTGACAGTATGGAGCGTTAATTGTTTTTGCAGCATCTACATAAACTGAAGGTCCTGAATTCTTTTCTATATCAGTACAAAGCTTAAATTGGCCAAAATTAACCCAGTGATTCAAACTGTTTTAAGCAGTAAAAAATGGATAATTACATGTACAGAGGGGCAAATCAAATTCTTACTTAGAAGCGTATTTGGATATCTCATTCCACCTAAATCGCCTGTGCTCTGATGCTTGGACGACTGATACACCTTCCCTCGTTTACGAACTAGTTTTGGAGTCGCCCCCTAAGTAAAAATCCCACACTGTTACAGT